TATACAAGAATGTTCATTAAAAGCAGCTTAAAATAAAAAAAAAATGCAAACATATTCCTGCTCCAAATGAGCTCTACAAAGGGCTGGATACAGACACCTTGGGGAAAATAATATTTTTGTCTGTTCTGTGCATAAATCCAAACTCTGTGCATTAATCCAATTTCTTTCTGGGATGTAGATGCATGACGGAAAGACTCATTTAGGGACATCGTCTCCCCAAATAAAATTTCTGTCTCTCTTACTAAAATTTTCCTTCAGTCCCCAAATTTCTAGCATTCCCAAGAGTGAGACATTGTGAATTCTTCACATGTAGAACTCTTTAATATTTGCTGTGTTTGCATTCACTTGTTAGCTTTGACTAACCATTTTCCTTGGATGCTTAAACTCTGTTTAAATTAGAGCAAGTCTAGAAATGTGGGTTTTGAAGGGAATTTTCATTTTTTCCCTTTTTTTGTAATTTACACTCATGATTTTTTCTTCCAGAAGGAAAATTTCATTTGAGGGGCTGAAATTCTTACTTGGGGAGGCAGTGCCATAGCTATACCCTGGTAGGTTGGTACAACTTGTGCCGCTTGAAAGCAGAGATGAGAAAAGTGATGTTTCCTGGGTGGCAGATACCAGAATTTCCCATCCAGGATTCTGGGAATGGTAGTCCCAAAGTTCCTTTTTCCAAGCTCAGGTTAAAAGTCACTGAGCTCTTGCATGGTCTACAAACTCTTCTAATATATTCACTCTAGCTGTGTTTCCTCGGGGGACCGAGTGGCACCCCAGCAGTCTCTAGTAGCTATATCATAGCCTAGAAAATCTGTTACTTAAGGAGGTACTAGACACTTCCTTATACAATGGCAGAGGAAGTAGGTAGATTGGTATAAACCCTGATCATCCTGGAAAAAGACAAAAGAAGATTCCAGTAGTGATTACCAGCAAAAGCACATCTTTAGTAAATCTAATGGGCCTTAACTGCACACTCAAAACCAACCACCCTTTTCATTTCAATGGGGTTATCTTAAAACAATATTTTATTGCTGGGAAATCCATCTCCATTCCCTCCCCCCTTTGCCTGCCCAGGCATCAATTATGAAGAATCCTTATTCTGTCTGCCTCTCTCTATCTGGAAGAAGACAAAGCAGGGAGGCATTTCAGAGAAAGAAGGAAGTCAAGCCTAAGGTGTCCAGTCGAACACAAAGATCTAAGGACCTTATTACACCAACCTGGTGTCCCACCACAATCACGCCAGTTTAAGAATGTACGCACACCAGTTTGACATCATTTCTTCTTAAACATTATGTCTTATCTTATCATCATGAGAAATGATGTCAAACTGGTGTGCTTCCATTCTTAAACTAAAGCAATTGTGGTGGGACAGAAAGCCGGTGTGATAAAGTCCTTAGATCTTTGTCTAGACTGGACTCCTTAGGCTTTACTTTCTTTCTCTGAAACCAGTTCCTGAATCTCCTCCTTCCAGATTTAGTGACAGAGCAATATGCCAGTCTACCTACTTGCTCTGACTTTTCCCCACGACAGTTTTTTGGTGATCCACAGCCGTGTGATCTGTTATTCCACACTACCAAAGACAACCTTCTGGGGGGAAGCAGGGGATGAGCGATCGTGGCTGCCAACTGCCTGCCAAAGGTGGCTGCTGTATGAATGTGTGGAAGTATTGGACAAAGGCGGTAAAGGAATAGTAGCAAGATTGAGAGTCTATTGGTGGGTTTTGCCCATCAATGAAAAGGTGGACTGTAACAAATGGAATCCAAGGCGGCAGCCACATGGATACAACATCATGTGATAAGTACCAGCCAAAGACACTTTTATCCTCTTAAAAATGCTGCTTTTCTTTGTTGTTGTTGTTAACTGCCTTTGCATTGATCTCGACCCATGGTGACTCTATGGATGAGACATCTCCAGGCTCCCCTGTCTTCTACTGCTCTGCCCAGCTCCTGCAAACTCATATTCATGGTCTCTTTAATAAAGTCCATCCATCTAATATGTGGCCTTCCTCTCTTTCTACTTCCCTCCACCTTTCCTAACATTATTATCTTTTCCGATGATTCATGCCTTCTCTGATGTGTCCAAAGTACCACAGTCTAAGTCTTGTCATCTTGTCATTTTCTAGCTCCTGTGATAAAGTCCTTTTTTTAGAAAAGGAAAAAAGAAAGGGACAATCTTAAAACCCACTTTTTAAAGACAAAGATCCATTCCATCTCTTTTTGTTTTTTACAGGATTGTCATTTATTGCATCCAGTTCACTGCTGAATCTGTGGTTCACAAGAGCATGTTTGTCCATTCTTTTCTTCCTTCCAACAATACTTTGCACAATTTCTCATCCATCTGGGTATATCATTCATATATATATATATATATATACACATATAATCTTGGACATCAGTTTTGCATCAGTTATCAGTACCATGGTGACAAAAGCAATAATAAATCTTTTTCCACCCTCTGGTCCTGAGACTCATTCTTCTTGCAAGTCAGTTCTGGTTTTTATTCACAGTCTCAACATGATCTCGCCCCACCACTACATACACACCCCAGTCTCCCTACCATCCATCTCAGATTGCCAGGTGCCTCTGATCTTCTCTTGCTGCTCATACCATGCAACAGGTTCTCATTATATTCGCTCCCCACCTCTATTTATCTCTTTCCATTGCCATGGCCACTGGCTCTCCACCTGTCATGTTCCATTAATCAAGACTGTTTTGCTT